AAAGGACATTCCCCGGGTTTCTGCCCACTGCAGGCACGTCTCCCACGCTGCCTCCAGCTGTCGAACGTTAGCCTCCGGCTCCCGACCAAAGACTAAGAGGTTGGTATCGTCCGCAAACCCCGCTACCCGACAATTACATCTCCATCATCATGGTGCTGGCGTGGGTGCCCATCTCGGGAAACGAGGGCCCGAGGATCTCGATGTTTGCTGGCGGTGACGCCCACTCCGACACCGAGAACCGGTGCCTCGCGTTCCTCGAGCGTGTGCCCGTCGAGGTGATCAAGGCGTCACACCATGGATCCCGCTCGTCCACGTCGGCTCGCTTCCTGAGGAAGACGAGTCCCACCAAATTTACCATCTCGGCAGGCTCGCAGCACGGGCACCCGAGATGAGTCTGGCCGGGCGCTTCCGTGGCGGCAACCCCTTTTTCAGTCGACGGTCGCTAACGACGGGCATTTGCCTGCATTCAATATTAGGCTGGCAGCTTCTGGCGCTCCTGTACTCGTATTCCACGCGAGCGAGAAGGTATACCGCCACAGAGTTCCGCAACCGCTTCAACTACAAGAGTACGAACGGACACGTCTTCTGCAACACGACATGCCACCCCTACTATCTGTTCATGGCCCAGAGCGCAGGAGTCCCATCTGCGACGGACCTCAACTTCAGAGAGTACATCGACAACAGCTCGTCGTACAACTATGTGTACGACTACGTCGAAAGCGTGCACAAAATCAATCTGCAAAAGGAGGCCGAAGCACCCGAGAGGTTCTGGCGGGAAGTTTACGGGTTGCCAGCATTCTCCGGCGATCCCAGCTTCCTGCACGACGATGCTTATATCAGACTCGGCAATATGCTCGATATGTGCTATGACGCCCGGCTCGGCCGTCACGCAATCTCAGACGACGGGATTCTCGGGATACTCCTTCGCACTGTCACTAGCCAGTGCCTCGACATCTTCTTTTACGCATGCTACGGATCGAACACGCCATACAACATCGCACGCGGCGATCGGATCGATATCAGCCGAGCGCTCCTCAAAATTGTCGACGTTCTCTACTCAACCGTTGGGCTCAACGGATCCATGGTCGAGGAACCCCTGCGCTACCTCGTCGTCAACGCGAGGCACGAATCCGCCATTGATGGTCTCGTCGTCCGCGTGACCCACCACGGCAGTGTTTCGGGGCAACAAGCACCCACGGCGAGAATGATGATACTACCGGGGCCCTTGGACGTTCCCCGTCGGTACCGGCTTCTTCAACCCCCCCCCGGTGCCATCTGACAATGCCGGTGGACTTCCCGTTGAAGGCCACCAGCAGTCCGTGACGCTGTCCAAAACCCGCATACAATGTGCAATCTACGCCGACGACATCAGGCGGCAAAAGCGCGAGCAGATTATTTGGGAAAGGAGAAAAAACATGATGATGCTCATGGACCTGAGCCAGCAACTGGAAAGCCAACTTGAAGAAATCACGGACAACTACGAGGACCCTAAGGTGCCTTTTGACGTCGACTCATCGATACACGAAGAGTTGCCAGTGGAGCAACTCCAAGGCGAGCCTTCAGATGCGGACCAACTTGAAGAAAATCTCGGGTCGTGGCTCTCGGACAAAGTGGGACAGCTGTGGTTGGTGGATGCCGGTTCGAGCAAGAGGCTGCACGACGAACTGGTGCTTGAGGAAAGCGACGTGACCATCGAAGAGGAGCATCCCCCTCACGTACTGCACCGGCGAATGCAAGAGATGGACACCATACCCAATGCCTCTGCAGGTCGCCCCCTGGACCCCAGCTCTGCGCAATCCCAAGCCTCAGATGGCGGCATGCCATCGACTCGTGCTGCTCGGTTCTTAGCCAAGCAGAGGGCGCCGAACGAGCCTTCGGCGGCTGGTAGACCCAATAAACCCTCCCCAGTTACTGGAGCTACACCGGCTCCGGCTCCGGCTCCGGCTCCCTCCGCGCTTGTCGCCGCACCTCCTTCCAGGCCGGCCAGCCCGGCCACAATTGCACGTCCCGCCGGAACGATCTGTGGCCTGCAGTACTTCGACAAAGTCAACAAGCTCACACCAGCCGACACCTACGCGGCCTTGTTCCCGTTCCCCACGGCTGACGTCTTCCGGCTCTGGCCCGGCGACAAGATGGTCTTTGAGAGGGGCGTCACCGTGCCCGCTGGGACCGGGACCTTGAACACGATGCAGATCGCCCTCCGCGGTGCCGCAGCCACCACCACGGCTCGCAGGGATTGGGACCCGGCCGTGGCCCAGCTGACGGACCTGATGACGGCCCGCGGGCCGGACGGCACCGCTACGCTCTTAAAGCAGCTGCGCATCAACTGCAAGTGGTCCCGCGGCGCTAACAACGCCGTCCAGGGAGAGATCCTGGGCCTCGAGGCCACCATGGTTCTTGGAAAGCACAGCTTTGTCTTCTCCACAGACCAGGAGCATGTGAAGCGTCAGTTCACGCCCGGGAAAGACCAGAGCGGTCTCGGCGTGCGCCCTGGGGTTGTCTTGATGGCTCTGAAGAAACACGACCCTCCGCCGGGCCCGTCCGAGGTGTCGCGCCTGACACTCTTGGACCTAGCAACTCTCGCATGTCTAGAGCCCCGTCGGCCTGTTGCG